TTTCAATACATCGATGTATATCGAATATCCCTACGCTGACAAACTTTCAGCTTTTATAAAATGACGTAGGTCTGGCGTTCACTAGCTCCTAGTCTATTACGTAAATTTTATGGAAAGAGCTTACGATGTAAAGGTGGGGTCGACAAATCACAGAACAGAATCTATGATTGAAATTGAATCGACTTTTAGCCTAGGTGCTAGTTTCATCGATTCTTATCTTATGAATAAATCAAGGTTGTTAGTTACCGATTAATTATCTGCCAGATATCTCTACTTGAGACTTGTGAAGCTGACAAATGTATTTGTTTATAGTTGTAAGTAATATAAGTTTAACCAATATAAAATTGACGACATCATGTCTACCATAAATACTAAGTTTACAGATATCGTTGCAAGATTTGCAAGCACAGAAATTACTTACTGGTTAATTACACTATATTATTTATTACGTCCACACATTGGATTGGAATATAATATAAATATGTTAGGTCCAAGATTGGTGCTATATTCGTATAGTCAATTCTTGAATCAAAGGCCAACTCCCCACGTTGGCTCCAATATTGGTTCCAACGCCACTTGTACAACGTCTAGATTTAGAGCATAGCTTTGGCCAATGTCGAATTACTAAATAGGTACATAGATCCATATGCCAGTAAGTGTTCCACGTTGGCTCCAATATTTTTCGCCGGCACTTCTACATATTATTTCTTGTGCACCCGTCATCCCTCTGCCTTTGATTATATCTCAAAACGGACATTGTTGGCGTTAACTAAAATACTAATATTCGATCATCAAGACCGATACACACAGTGAAGTTTTAGCTCAAAGTCTTTGTTTTATAAAATATGTGAACATGGTATGGGGCGTGACACTTAATATTGTCACCAACGTCGATGGCGAATAATAAATACAAAATACCTAATCGCAAAATAATTTTGTGATTTTAATTCTCCAACAAACACCTAATCAAATTCTAAAAGCTGTGTATATCAAACATTTTAGTCAATATTATGAATTCTTTTAAATATTCGTGTTTATTTTATAATGCAACAATAATAATAGTTTAAGTTGGTGAAAATAAATAAATAAATAAAAATAAATATTATGATTTTGAAATTCATAATTTCTTAAAATCCAATAACATTATTTCCAGTTTGATTATGTACCGGTATTAAATAGGTTTATTTTCTTTGGCTACTGCGCAAAATTGGGGTTACTTACTATAAAGTTAAACTGTATAATATCAAAACATTAATTTTATATTACAAATGAATAAAAACGACAAAATTATCGTCTACTTATATAATATTTACAAATACATACTTATATAATCACTGAATTATTTATACATACATACATGCTTATCTTTCATTAAAACGCTTGCATAATATACTAAACACAGGCTTTCGAAGCTTCACATACATTGAGTTGCATTTTTGTCTGAAAAAGGTTGAATGTTTATGTTAATTAATTATACTTGAACTCAATTGCATAAATGATTGTAAGTCATGAATACATAAGTACTGGCATATTAGTATTTTTTTGGATTTTCATTTTTTTATCAACAATTTCATAGTTATAAATATCTGTAATATAATATGAATGTAGACAAAATCTTAGTAATAGATGTAAACGCGTACATGGAAAAAAAATTAGACACCCTAATAGAATAGTTTCGATAATTGTATAAATATCTAATATCAATTTTTAATAAATATTCATCTAGATTCTAAACATAATTCTATCTCACAAGTATTGTGCGCTCCAAGTCTTCATCATCAGTATAAATACATTTACAAAACATTTACATTCAAACATGTCCAAACCAAATCAGCAATATTTATATCATCTAATATTACGACAAGCGTCAGGAATATCCCTTAAATAAACATCGGCAGTAGCCGGTACTACACGAAAATTACAATTCCTTTGAACGCATTTTATACGTCACCTACTTTAACATAGAAAGTTAGACTTCTGCGTTTACAACTGTACGATAGCCGTTTGTCCCAAACCCTAACACTAATATCATTTATAATATCGAAATTCTCATTCAGTCAGAAATGTGCGTGCTCCCCAAAACATCGAATTTTCTTATTCGTTAAAACATCTCACTGACAAATACACACTAAACTCGTGACGGCGAGCACCGATGTGCGCGACAATCAAAGCGACACGCACGTGTTACAACATCTAACTCGAAAAGATTTCTCGAATAAAACAAGTCGAAATTCCACGAATCGGACGTCGCGTTACCGCGATCGTATCCCACGAGTAAGGCGTCAATTTTCTAACGAGTACAAAATGGAAATCGTTCGATGGAAGTGCAGGTAGTATATCGGTGCTACAAAGTACAAAATCTTAAATATGAATTCCGGTCGTTTAAAAAGTTCGGAGGAATCCGCGCGGGCTGACGCAGTCCCGGCACAGGCGAGGATCGGCGTCTCCGCTCGCGCGGCGTCCGGCCCGGACGAAGGTGTCCGGCGCCGGGGCCCGGACGAGCGTCCGGACGGGCCCGGGGGCGACAAGAGTAGCTCAGACCAGCGCTTCGTCCTCGCGCTAGGTCAGCGACCGTCAGGAGTCCAGGAGCACGTGCCAACGTTGCACCTGCGTTTATTTCATTTCATGTAGCATACAGGGTGGAAACGATATGATCTCACTCAATCATTTCTAAACTGTACAAGATATTGAAAAACTGGTTACTGGTCTTGAAAGTGCTTCACGAGCTCTTATCAAACGGTATCAATAAATAGGTTACAGAATTAAACTGGTTCTATCCGAAAATTTAATGTTTTGTATGAGAGGGGCTGTGGCCCAGCGAGAACCAGCCCACCATCTCGTTGGCTTGACGCTGTCTCAGTCCCCTGCCACTGACCTGCTCGCCCTGGCGCTCGCACAGCTCCTGCCAGTGGCGCTGCTCCTCGCGGCCCGAGGGGCTGTGGCCCAGCGAGAACCAGCCCACCATCTCGTTGCGCTTGACGCTGCGCCGCCACCACACCGACACCATCAGCGTCACCTCCGTCAGTTGGAACAGAGCCACCTGGTGACGGTAATATGCAGTTGGTTTAACTTTGTATGACACATGATTCTTTTGAGTGGGACGACTAATTCTAGTTCATGCGATAATGCTCGTTCGTTATGACGTCTACTGGTGGACAGAGGCCTTCCCCAAACGCTATGCTACGCATGCATGCGATAACACTCAAATGGGATGAAGTTCACGCTCTCCGCTTGATAGGACTAGGCTAACGTCATCTGTTACTTGGGACAGTTACTCCCGACATTTTATTACTAACAATGGATATTTTATCAATAAGTAGTTAAATGAATATGAATTATTAAGATGCTCCAGCTAGATTCATAGCTCTACTAAAGCCCGGTCTGTGAGCACGTAGAATTTTGTGCAATGACCCCAAGCTCCTTATCGCTCGCGCGTAATTATATTGCTGTCGCGACAGTGCGACTGGCGCCCGCAGTGAGTGTGCGCGAGCAAGGTAAGGATGGGTAGCTTGGGGTCATTGGACAAAATTCTACGTGCTCGCACTATAGAGGTATGGCTGTCAGAACTATCAGGCCAGCCCGCTTCAGAATGGCGACGCTGAAGGACAAGGAATCTTGACCGTCGCTTCATGGGGATATATTATTCTTTTGCCTTTGGTATCTATGTTGTTATAATAGGTGCTATTTTGCAATAATACTGTCTAGTTTGTTTGATTATATGCTGTCATCTGTAAATATTCTCACCTGGAATATAAAGAGCTCCTTATAAAGCGGGTTGGAGTGCGCTCGGCGCGTGGTGGACTTGCAGCGGCCCATCTCCATGCCCAGGGAACTGATGAGGCAGAGCTTCACGTATGTATCTGGTGCCTTGTTGGGCGACAGCTTGCGGAAGTGCGTGCCTTTTATTATCTGTTGGGGCGAAAATAATTACGACATCAACAATAAATCCAACCAAAAACTGACACTAGAGGCTCGCCGCGGACCGAGTCAGATTTTGTCGCCTCACTTCGATCCGCAACGTGGCTCGACTCTCTGCTTAAATCATCGTGTACTCAAGCTACTCAAGAAGATCCAAAGCAGATGACGGGCTTGCAAGGACTCCTTGCAATCCATAGGCCGCTCCTATCCGGCTCGAAGGACCAATATTGCGGTAATTTGATGTAAAAACGATGCATCGCTAGTGGGGGACACGTTATATTACACCCAACACATGGAGTGGCTTAGCTCCAGCTTTGGCGAAACCAATATTACTGACCTCAATTCAGCAGCAACTCGGGGGTCGTCACCGTAGCTATGGACAATGGACTGGCAAAGACTCCTGGCATTGGATGGCTTAGTTTTATCTCTAGCAAACTGACCTCGAGACACAGATGACTAGTGGTGGGGTTGTACTACAACCCCAGCAGCAGCTCGAGTGTCGTCAACGTGGATATAGACTATAGACTAGCGAGGATTCCTGACACGGAAGATCTTACTCGTAGTTTCAGCTCTAGCAAAGCCCACAACTGACCTCGACAGACAGGTGTCCAGTAGTGGGGTTGTCCCAGTAGCAGCTGCTGCCATCGTCACCGTCGCGATGTAAGACGGGACTTGCTAGAGCTCCTGACGTAAGAGTGTCTTAGATCCAGCTCTAGTAAAGCTAGTAACTGACCTCGACAGACAGATGGCCAGTGGTGGGGCTATACTGGAGCCCCAGTAGCAGCTCGGGCGCCGAGCGCGTGCTGCAGCACGACGAGGCGGAGTCCGAGCGCGCCAGGCTGCACGCTTCGCCACCCGCGCCGCTGGGCGTCGTCACTGTGGCGATGATAGCCGGGTCTCTACTAGAGGCAGCTTAGACCGAGACTGCTCAAATGGAGACGCTGCGACCTAAGGCACGACTCGTCGCGAAGTTTTCGTTGCTGCGGATCAAGCCAAATTTTGTCGCCTCACTTCGATCCACAACGTAGCTCGACTCATCTGCCTCAAGCATCGTGTACTCAAGCTACTCAAGAAGATCCAAAGCAGATGACGGGCTTGCAAGGACACCTTGCAATCCATAGGTCGCTCCTATCCGGCTCGAAGGACCAATATTGCGGTAATTTGATATAAAAACGATGCATCGCTAGTGAGGACACGTCATATTACACCCAACACATGGAGTGGCTTAGCTCCAGCTTTGGCGAAGCCAATATTACTGACCTCAATTCAGCAGCAACTCGGGGGTCGTCACCGTAGCTATGGACGATAGACTGGCAAAGACTCCTGGCATTGGATGTCTTATAGCTCTGGAAAGGTCTATAACTGACCTCGACGGACAGATGGCCAGTGGTGGGGCTATACTGGAGCCCCAGTAGCAGCTCGGGCGCCGAGCGCGTGCTGCAGCACGACGAGGCGGAGTCCGAGCGCGCCAGGCTGCACGCTTCGCCGCCCGCGCCGCTGGGAGTCGTCACCGTGGCGAGGATAGCCGGTTCTCTACTGGTGGAGATCTCACTGGAGACTCGAGGCAGCCTTTGGGAGCAGCATCGTGACGAACGGCCGCCACGACCCGCGGCTGGTTAAAAGGAGATGCTGCCTAACCTGAGGCCAGACTCACGCAAATTTCGTCGCCACGGATTGAACCAGATTTTGTAGTCTCACTTCGATCCGCAACGTGGCTCGAACTTCTTTCTCCTTCAAGCATCGTAAACTTAAGCTACTCAAGTATATACGAGCTGATGACCGGCTTGAAAGGACTCCTTGCAGTCCATATGTCACTGGTTCATATCCGGCTCAAAGGACCAATATTGCGGCAATTTGATGTAAAAACGATGCAGCGCTAGTGGGGACACGTTATATTACACCCAACACATGGAGGGCTTAGCTCCAGCTTTGGCGAAGCCAATATTACTGACCTCAATACAACAGCAGCTCGGGGGTCGTCACCGTAGCTATGGACGATAGACTGGTAAAGACTCCTGGCATTGGATGGCTTATAGCTCTGGAAAGGTCTATAACTGACCTCGACGGACAGATGGCCAGTGGTGGGGCTATACTGGAGCCCCAGTAGCAGCTCGGGCGCCGAGCGCGTGCTGCAGCACGACGAGGCGGAGTCCGAGCGCGCCAGGCTGCACGCTTCGCCGCCCGCGCCGCTGGGCGTCGTCACTGTGGCGATGGAGGAGGGGCTGGCCAGGACTCCGGACATGGAGTGGTTGAGTTCCAGCTTTGGGAGCTGTAAGGGAGAAAATATACATCATTATCTGACGGAGTGGTCAGTGCACACCCTAATCCTATCATAGAAGCTGTAAAGGAAAGATAAACTTAGATTATTGGGCATTCTTTGTCTGTGTATGCCTCGCCACCCGCGCCGCTGGGAGTCGTCACTGTGGCGATGGATGATGGGCTGGCGAGGACTCCGGACATGGAGTGATTGAGTTCTAGCTTTGGGAGCTGTAAGGGAGAAAAAATACATCACTATCTGACGGAGTGGTCAGTGCACACCCTAATCCTATCATAGAAGCTGTAAAGGAAAGATAAACAAGACATTATTGCGCATTTTGTAAGTCTGTGCATACACGCATTACCGCCCGCGCCGCTAGGCGTCGTTATAGTCGCGGTGGAGGGGCTTGCGAAGACGCCAGACATGGAGTGGTTGAGTTCGAGCTTTGGAAGCTGTACCTAAGGAAGAAAAAGACATCATTATTCCAAGTATGTGACTACGGCTACAGAGCGGTCAGTGCACACCCTAATCCTATCATAGAAGTAGTAGAGGACAGATAAACAAGTCATTATTGCGCATTTTTTAAGTCAGTGCATTTTCGCCACCCGCCCCACTGGGGTCGTTCACTGTAGCTATGGAGGATGGACTAGCGAGGACTCTGGACATGGAGTAGTTGAGTTCAAGCTTTGGGAGCTGTAAATCAAAAAATATACGTCATTATCTAAAAAGAATCCCAAGTATGAAAGTGCGGCAATGGAGCAATTCGTTTCCATCATATTGGCAAAGTCACACAAAGTCGTGATGGACGAAGGGAGCGCTCCCGATATGAAGTGAATTAGCTCGAGCTTTGAAGTTATAGAGGCAAAAGGAATGCGTCATTAACACGTTGGACGCCACGCGGCTCACCGGTGAGCCTCGAACAATACAATTTCCATTGTGTCTAGCGTCTCGGCGTTCAATGACTTAATATTATTACGTGATCACAGATGTGGTATACATAATACACATAGCCGAAGACACACTTTTCAGTAGTTACCAAACTCGATAGATTTCATGTAAAAAGTTTTGGGTTTTCATAGCCAGAATTTTGTATTCTTTTAGAGAAGTTGTGTCTTGGTAACTAATAATCATTAATAATGATAACTACCTAATGCAAAACTATTTTAACCTGTAGTGTGGGCTGGTGGTGCTGTCTAGGCATCAGCTGCAGCCAAAGACTGTTTTCGAGCTCGAAGTTGAGTGCCGCGAAGCTGACGGCCGCCTCGCCCACGAGTCGCTGCCTCCGCATCCGCTCGCATCCGTAAATGCGGATGCGGAGTCCCAAGCCGTGGACATCCTCTGTAAAAGACAAAAGTTTACATTTGAAATGTCACTCACATGGCTACGTTATTGACATAGTAAAAAGCAACTTTTGCTGTGTTTTTACGGGAAAANGACAGCGCGAAATACCTACTTTAGAAGAAATACCAAGCCTTAAGAATATCGTTTCCGCGAATGTAAACATGCGTGTACCGATACTTAAAATAGATATGACTATGTCACAGTCATCGTGACGTATACGTCATGGCATCGCAAAATCATCCGAATCTAACTAGCCGATCAAACTGCCAATTGAATGAATGCGAATCTCTCACGATATTTCAATTTAAACTTTGATTTAGGGTTGTCGAAAATTTTACGAAAAGTCAGACAATTTTGATATCGTAAGTTCGTTGTGTAGCTTATTAATTAAACAGAGACAGAAACAGAAACTGCCAATGCAGTTTGAGACTATTCTCAATGATCTCAACAAATACACATTGCAATCAGTGTTTACTTTGAAGTTGTTAAGGAAGTGGAACAGACCGTAGTCTGCGGTATTTCTGAACCGATACAACCTACAATCTTTCAAGAAGAAAGAGTACTCATACCTAAAAAACCGACAACGCACCTGCAACTCCCCCGAGGCTGCGGGTATCTATAGGCGGCGGTAATCACTTACCATCTGGTGATCCTTCTGGACGTTTGCCTCCTATCTTATAAAAATACTTTTAGGAAGGATTTAAACTCATTTTACTGTCAGCAAAGGTTCTCGCATTGATTGTCCTACCAAACTTGCGGTCATCTGTGTGATAGAGCAGCGCTTCACTTGTCTTTGAGGCCGCATTCAATTGCAGTTCTAAAAGAAAGTAATATTTCCAAACAGACCGGCACTTTCACACAACCAATCAATATGTGCAGTAAATGTTTACGACTTAATAACTTAATGAGCTGTTCGCACCCAATTTTTACTGCGGTTTGATTGATTTTCATAAGTTGATAATAAGCGAGTACTTATCATCTTATTTCCGGTTTATGTCCAGATGTTTTTAGTATTAATGATAGATAAGTATTTTAAACTCTTACGTCCAACGAACGACATCGATGTCAGTCGACAAACTGTACGATTCGCAAGGCATTAGAGCACGTAGTGCCTGCTTATATCCTTCGTATACATGCTGGACTTTATCAAGGCGAAAGCATTCTCGGACAAAATTTTCTACCTTATTGAATAAAGTCCTTCTTGCGTACAATTCAACCAAAAGATTTCCACTGCTGGACAAAGGCCTCTGCAAGGATTTCCAACGAATGGTCATACGTTGCCTGCTTCTCGCTTCGTGCAATCTTCACGAGGTCCTTTCCTTTCATAGCTCTTATGTTTTTCTTTCCAATAATCTTTTATTATAGTGTCTAAAGTCATCCTTTTTCTTGAAGATGGATTTCCAAAGTTCTTTTGCCTGATATGTATGCTAGCGATTTGATGTTCTTAGCAATTTCTGGTGCAGCAACCCTGAAGAGTTGCCCTCGCGATGGCCCAGTATTATTAATTTCATGGTTCTAACGGTCAACGGTCAGGCGCCGTATGCTCGCTACGTTCTGCACAATGGGTTATTCGCTGTGAAAATTAACGTTTCTTTTGCCTGATATGTATGCTAGCGATTTGATGTTCTTAGCAATTTCTGGTGCAGCAACCCTGAAGAGTTGCCCTCGCGATGGCCCAGTATTATTAATTTCATGGTTCTAACGGTCAACGGTCAGGCGCCGTATGCTCGCTACGTTCTGCACAATGGGTTATTCGCTGTGAAAATTAACGTTTCACACGACTCCATTGTTTTCGGGTAACTTTAGGTTAAATTTTGATTTATTACATGTAAATGCCACAAAGAAAGGTTAAACTGTAAGATAATTAAAATAAAACGTCAGATTTTAAATTTTAACGGTCCAATCAAAGATAAAAAAAACTGTCTCTTCAAACTTCCATTATTTCCAGGTCCTGGGTCAAAGCACGAAAAATGTGACTTTTGTATTGACATTTTTAACATAAGTACAAATACCTTGAAACAATATAGCGAAAAATATTTTGACAGATACTATCTAAGATTAATCTAACCGTTCGACTGATAAATATTTACTTTTGCAACCTGTCAAAGTAAATTAGCCAAAAAAATAACCTAGCTTTACAAAATCGAGGAAGAAATTAACAAACTGCGGAACCATATTTTATCAAAGATTATCTGTTCATCTCGCAAATAGTTTTCCAAGATCTATCCAGATAGCTCTCATTAACGTACATTTAGTTTTATATCATCCGAGCTCCGAAATTCCTATGAGAACCGCCATTTTTTATTCGTCTAATTCGCAATCCGGTTTTTATTCGTGTTGCTTTGTTTTATTGCGTCTTGTTAAGAAATTGAGCTGATTAATGATGGTAGCTTGATTAAAAATTGAGGATTAGTGTATCACATAAATAAATTCAATGGGTATTAGTGGGGCATCGTAAAATTATTGAAGCTTTTCGCGGTGTAATAAAATAAGGTTTATGGTGATCGAACTGTCCAGCTAAGGTTATGAAGGCATTTGAAGGTTGATCAAGGATAAAGTGGCTTCTTCTGTTCATTCGTTTCTGCCAAATGACGTCCACAGCCGGACAAAGGCCTCCCCCAAGGATTTCCACGACCGGTTCTGCGCTTGTAACATCCAGGTACTTCCTGCGACCTTCCGAACATTAAATAATTTTGATTCCGTGCTTCAAAGCAACTTTTTTTGATTATTATTAACCGCCTCTGTGGTCTAGTGGTAAGACCACCTGCTTCAGACGCAGAGGTCCCGGGTTCGATTCCCAGTGGGGGCAGATTTTTCTGTTCGGTTTGGTTGGTGGTAGGGCTTGTTCTAAGTCCGCCTGGCTAGCTACCACCATCATACCTAACTCTGTCGCCATAACAACAATGTTAACAGTATTGTTGAGTTCCATCAGTTAGAGGTAAGATAGCCAGTTCCTCCGTGGTTGAGGATTCCGGGTGAAGCTCGCTTCCACCTTCGGCCTGATCATCACTTACCATTAGGTGAGATACAGGCCAAGAGCTTCCTCGTTGTGGATAAAAAAAAATATTTGTCACTAGCCATACATTTTGAAATTGTAAAGAGTAAAACTTGAGTGAGTTTGTCAGTGATGTGACGCTGCTCATACAACCGTTATCTGTTTGTAAGTCGACGGCAGTTTCAACATCCTTCCTGCCAATGGTGTCTTCACTAACTCGTAACTACCTTTTGTTTAGATATTGTTTATTTATGGGGTAGGAAGAATGCACACGATTTGACAAATGCACCGTTTTTATATTTATGACTAGCTGTGCCCGCGACTTCGTACGCGTGAAAATAGTTTGAATAATATTTCCTGTTTTTGCAACATTTTTCTTTACTACTCCGCCCCTATTGGTTTTAGGGTAGTGTTATATAGCCTAAAATCTTCCTCGGTAAATGGGCTCTCCAACACAAAAAGATTTTTTCAAATCGGACCAGTTGTTCCTGAGATTAGCGCGTTAAATCGAACAAACAAACAAAACTCTTTGTCAGCTTTATAATATTAGTATAGATTTTTTTTTTGCTTTTACTAGCCTGTCTTCGTTTGTCTAATAAATATTAAAATGTTAATTAAAATGATATTTAAACTTTAATATTGCTTCATTGATATATAAAAAACAAATGAAATAAAACATCTTTATTATTTATTAAATATCAAACAAGTAGTTGCTATTTGTTTGTATTGAAATAAAACTAAACGAACGTTTTAGGAAACGTTTAATCAAGTTTTTCGGAATAATTTAATGACTTGATTATTCAATCAAATACGGAAACATCAAAATTTTATTCCAATTAACACCCTTCAACTGTTGCGTACAATCTCCCAGAACATCTAGTCAATAAATATATCTATTAAAAAAACTACCGTTTATTTAAACATTACATTTTCTGCTAATACATTTTCTGCTAATATGAACAGTGAACACGTGTAATTTTAACGTTCATCATGTTACAATAACAAATTGGGTAACAGAGGAACAGTTACATGAATCAATTGCGTGTGATCTATTTGTTTTAGCATTTATCAAGATATTTGTAGCAATCAATGTCCGTCAAATAACAAAGACGTGTATTATTTGTAGAAAAGATTCTTTTGTACTGTTTGTCACAGACCACCAATCAATTTATTTATTTTTATGAGTTGTCAAAATCTGACTAACCTATAGATTTGGCGCCATTAGTTCACAAGCATTTGCCATTAGTTCTAAAAATTACGTCTAATATTTAGTAGAAATACAAGTTGGTACCTTTATGCTGAAACTGAAAACAATATCCCATCAAAAACAATACTTGTCAAAAAAACCAAGTCTCGCAACTCAGTTGTTCTACGGTAAAAAGTTGTGAGATCCATGTAATACCAAGTCCAGGCCAGGAAATCTTTAACGTTTTACATAAATTATTGACTTGGCCATCGCACTAAATAATTTAATTTACACGTGTTTTCATGCGATGGCCAAGTCAATATATTTATGTAAAACGTTAAAGATTTCCTGGCCTGGACTTGGTATTACATGGATCTCACAACTTTTTACCGTAGAACAACTGAGTTGCGAGACTTGGTTTTTTTGACAAGTATTGTTTTTGATGGGATCTCATTTCTTTTTGTATTTTGTAGACAGCAGTTATGTATCTAGAAAACTGGACCGAAATTGAAAAATTTTACTCGACTTGGCGGTTGCACTACCGTGCCCCCAAATATTTTAGTTTTTCCTTGATTCATACACCAAACACTACTTATATTCCAAATTTGAAGCTTCTAGGTCTGCTAGAAGTGCCTTAGAGTTTTGATGATCGGTGAGTCAGTCAGTGAGTCAGTCAGTGAGTCAGTGAGTGACAAAATTAAGTAACTTTGACCCGTTATAATTCTTAAACTACTGGTTCAAATTGAATGAAATTTTAAATATACCGTGTCTTTACAATTCCTGCATAGCTAATGAAAATTCAGCCTTCTAGTTTTATCCACAACGAAGTTACAGGCGGTCGAAAATGGCCTGAATTGCTTCGAGAAAAGGATGGTACGGCCGTGCCGCTTTTTTGCTCGACTTGGTGGGGGCACTGCCGTGCCCCCAGATAAGTACGTTTCGTAAAAAATATGTTTTAATGCCACTGATTCCATGACGAGAGATGTGGAAAACAAATTAATGGAGATTTCAATTACCTTTGTCTTCTATTGGCGCGAAATAATAATCTGTGGCATAAACTTGATTGTTTACTTTTTTTTTATTGCACTGCTTGTGCATTGTGACACGACAAAAAAATATGTTTATTTATTTCCTTTTGCAGGAAAAGGCAAAGGCATAATGTTATACAGCTGATACAGCCGATTATGGTAGCATCTTGATAGTGAGCCAAACTCCGAGAAAACTAGCATAAAAAAATGATTGCACCTTTTTAAACTCAATTGGCCGTTCGCGTTATTCTAACGAGCTAGCAAGAGAGTACAAAATTGAAACAACCAGTTTTATCAACAGTTTTATGAATATTAACGTGTACCAGTTTGCGACATGGCGTGGCGAGATTGTTATCAGGTTGTAACGCATAGATAATGTTACCTATGGGGATATTTCGTAATGGGCTTCAGTTAATTTTATAGGAAGAGGTGGTTTTGAACGGTTCATTAATGGTTAAAGAGGTACTTGTAGCTGAAAGATGGCAATAAATGGTAGTGTATTATTATGATGTTTTTATAAGAATCTCGCCCGAGAAAGACAGATGCGAGCTTGATCCAGAATAATCTTTTTCCCTCGTGTCTTAAAGGCCTAAGGGTCGTATGAATAGTAAGTTGGGGAAAATACATCCAAGAAATAGGTTTATTATTTATTTAGGGATCAATCTTCTACCATCTACAAGTTAGTACTCTTCGATTCTGACCAGTAGTGCTACAGTTCTTCTTTCTTAAAAAAACTACAACGAACAGCGTATCTAGCATAACTATCAAAGTATCACATAAAGTTAAATTAGTTACCTAAAACATAAAGTATCTGACAAATTCAAGTAGTAAAAACCCAATTTTAAAGGGCCATGATCTCAATTGTGTATTTAAGAAAACCTACGTTTAACTATTGCACTCATTACTGATTTACAAAGGGTCCGAAACAACCTACAATTAGCTAAATACTCTTATGAAACATGTTGCAGCCTCACACGGTCCTAATTCGTTGTCAAAACTAACAATGCGATCTGGGGCTGTGTCATTGGGCGACCTTAGGTGCCTGTAGGTGTTCAGTTGTAGCGATTTTATAAGCGGAAGCGATATTTGTCAGCTGATAATCAGTTCAGTTACAAACTAGAGCAACAAACACCACCACCGCCGCCAAATCGATGTTTAAGTCCAATTTTAATTCTCACTCCAAGTAAGCTGGTACAAGTCGCCCTCCCAAGTATGGGTTTTAAAAGCCTTAATTTATACCCCATCATGGTGAAGATCTAGGGACATTTTTTTCCAATTAAAAGTCAATTATAAGGATCAAGCATAAATGAATCACTGGTGTCTGGATTTAGTAATTTCCATTTATCTAGGCTCTTTAAAAACGTGTGCCATCTTCTGATCTTTGATACATTGCAACTCAGAATTGGGACGCAAAAATGTGTACATTTCAATAAACATTATTATTACTGCCCTTTTTAATGTCTTGCAAAAACATCTGCAGAGATCACAATCTAAGCCCTATTATGTCTTCCAGACACCCTTCTTAAAATCTACCGTCACTATTCTACAAGTCCTTTTATGTCATTCCAGGCATCCTTCCTAAAGATCCGGTTTGCTCGCTGACACTGGGACCCCACCCTTTCATTGTTTCCTCTTTCCCACGACCAACCGAATTTTACGAAGGTTGACCTTGGATGGTTTGACCCACTGGTAGGACAAACGTGTGCTCAGCATTGAGGCAAAACCTGTTTGTGTAAAAATACGATAACTTCTTCTTGGTGAAGATGGCAATAATATAGATGTGACTTAGGGTTGTGACCGCCTCAGCTGAGGTAGACCTACTGGTAGGACAAACGCGTGTTTAACGCTTTGAAACAAAACCTGTTCGTGTAAAAATACTGTGACACTGAACCCTTGGGTGAAGATGCTGTGACGGTGACTTTGGATGATTTTGACCGCCTCGGCTGACCCATTAGGACAAACGTGTGTTCAACATTTTGAAGCAAAACCTGTTTGTCAAAAAGTACGTTACCCCTGGCTTATTAGTGAAGAAGGTAATAATATCGATGGTTTGGTTTTGCTCGTAAATCGTGGTGAAGATGTCCAATTAAATCTGATATTACATAATGTGAGTGGTGGACTTTATTTCACTAAGCAAGCTGTCCCTAATATCTAAGAAGAATGTGAAGCAGTCTGCCTCTGGTCTAAGGTTTCGCAATAGCAAGTCAGAGTCTTACTGATAAGACTACTAAATTGGTAGTGGTCATATTATAGGTATAATATTGCCTTGTCTTGAGATCCAAAATTGATGGACAATTTTAACTTGTTGGCACTCAAAAAACCTTAGTGCAGGGCTCGACAAAAACGCTAAATCTGGCTAAACATTGAGGCACCTCTACTTTTCCACAACGGTCTTTTCCTGTATTTATTTGTAGGACTTATCTCATACTTCGTATGTCCAATCTACGAACATGCGAGTGCATAATAATTCATGTAAATAAACATAGCTGTCTCATAACTGAATATGCAATTCGTCAGAAAAATGATGACATCATCTACTAAATAGGTCAATAATGTATGTTTGTTCCCAATAAATAATATTCTTCACACTTCGAAGACATTGTGTTTCAATAATGTATGACAGTAAATATGAAATGAAAGAGGCTGACATTGGACAAATCCACACCTGTTCAAAATTTATTGTGAAATATGTTATTGTAACAATAAAAATACCTCATGCGGGTCGTTTTAGCGACATCGAAAATCGATCATAGGTAGGTACATTTTACTCGTATGTTTCATAAGTGTTACTTATTAGATAGTTGACGCCATAATTCCAAATCACTACTGGAAAAAAAACCTTACAGCTAGCCTTCTAGCCCTAAAAATCGGGTTTGTTTTAAATTTACTGTAAATTAGATTTTTGTTACCTTCAATTTTGTTAGCGAACTATTGTTGTAAATAATATAGGTTACCATGTAAGTAATCTATATATATAAAAGAAAGTCGTGTTAGTTACTCCACTTATAACTCAAGAACGGCTGAACCGATTTAGCTGAAAATTGTCAGGGAGGTAGTTTAGAGCCAGGAGAAGGACATAGGATACTTTTTATCCCGTTCGAAATTAAAAAAAAAAGTCTGCTTATTTATTGTCATTAAGGCGGAACAAAGTTCGCCGGGTCAGCTAGTATAAAAATAAAAAGTAAATAACATACATGCCTAAACCTGACTTTATGTATTGTGCAAACATTTATCAGTAAATCACTTAATCATTATAATTGATAAGTCAATTACTTAAAGTACAATAATTAATAACGTAATTACTTAAATGCATTTTAGAAAGCATTTCGTGTAGAGAAAAAATAATTACAAAGAACTAAGTAAGTAGTTTACTTACGCAGGTTACTTACGCAAAAAACTTTTTTATTCTAACTTCATCGATAACATTGTCAACATACCAATTTTTTCGTCTTGTTGCAAAAAAGAAAAAAAAAACAATCTTTGTTTAGAAGATGTTAAACTGGTCTTAGATTTATCTGTACGACTGTGTCTGTTCATAATAAATCCCTATGTTTTTTTATATTTTTTTAAGTCACTGAATAACCAGTCAGCCAGCCAGATATGCTCGGGATATTTAGTTATCTTAATTCAAAATTATTTTTTTTTATGCCACCTTTTGGTACCTGACGTGTTTTGTTTTTCGACGAAAAGTTTCACAGAATTTGAAAATAGAATGGAATGGAATACCTATTTCACTTTTAAATCGCCTTGTTATTCACTTATTCGCACATGGAATTTGTCAGGCTCTTACTTAGCTCATTATTATGCTAAATATAACGTTTTGTTTTCGTAAACACGTCAGTACCTACTCTTATTACTTGGAAATACTTCTACATGATCCGAAAGAGCAGCGTTGAGATGATGAGAACAAAAAATAAACTAAGAAATGAAAATTACAGTCAACTAACCGATAAAAAGTAATTCACAGTGACAAAAAACTGGGTTCAAATCTCAAAAGCACCGCAGGCTGTATATCCAGACAATAAAAGGTCGTATCGCGGCATAGAAACAAAATTAACTTTTTTCGCCCAAGGTCATTGGCCAAATCACCGAAATCCTCGCTCTCGTGACCGCTCGCCGCCTTTACTCCCTCCAAAAGAACTGGACACATGACTCATTATTTACTGAGGCAACTCAGACCTCGGCAACATGTAAATCATCGTTCCCCTTTGTCTCCACAGGTCGTGTTTCCAACGTTTCGTTATTTACACAGATGACAACGAAACCTTACGTGAAAACCCAGACAATCCAACGAGTGAAACGAATCGAATTTAAAAACTAAAAACTAAAGTAACCCAAGCATTCCAAATTCAAACTAACAAAGTTGCCATATTAACTTAACAAGCTTTTTAAAATACTCGATAAGGCGCCAGACATTTAAGTGAGTAATCGATAAATTAAGTGCATAAAAAATCGTGTCAAGATCAATAAGTGTGTGTCAAGGGGTACACGGCTTTCCTTTTGTGGACCAAGACTGGATGATCGTGATAAATTGTGGTGAATCGTTTAAAAGTGACCGTCGCCGGACGTCGTGGAAGGATTTTGGCGGATCCTTTCGTGATTGTTTTGCGTGAATCGGAACGTACTCTTAGTGTCAAGGAATTTGCGTTACCCCTTGATTTAAAGCAGTGTTCGAATCAAATTATGTTAAGTGTATGTGCGTGAAAGATGTCGACGCAAGCGTATTACAAGGAGCGCCTGGGGTTTGATCCCCAAGAGGCGATCCAGGACGGAGTCAACGGGGGATACTACGATGGGCCCCACCAGCCTAAAAGACACCGAGGGGAGCACGGAGGCCCCGAAACACACGACCACGTGTACGAGGAGAATTTGACCAAATTCAAAGGTACAACTTGTTGGGAGTTCTTTATACATCAATCAGGTTCGTGGTGATGGGATATAGAGAATGCGAGTGTGTGTCGATGTTTTTTTAAACAATCGTTTGTTTTGATGCGATGCCACACTTGCGCGCTAACATTCCTTGCGCTGTTTTGTTTTTTTAATGTTACTAGGTTGGCATTACTGCGACCAGTGCCAGCAATTTTGAAAAGTAATTTTGTTATAATCACATAAATCAACAGTATCATTCATTATGTTTTAAAATGAAATAATGTAACTAACTCAATTTTTACGACTAATCGAGTTTGCAAAACTTGTTCAGTAATAATAACGTAAAGTTCTTTTATTTCTTTTAGAGTTTTAATGTTTTCGGTTCGTTTTATAACACGGTTTCGTATTTGACCTTGGTTGACACTATTTTGTGTGTTTCATTTGTACCTACTTATTTCATAAACACAATTATCCTTCCTTAAACAAAAAAAAAAAAACAAATGGCACACAATTTATAAGGATCAACGTAAAATTTACCTGTTTCTTTCCATAGTTCACGTAAATAAAAAAAGAGTTGACAATCAAGTGATTTCCATTGATATCACCAGTACTTATTTCGATGTTATAATAATATGATTTTTCATTGTCTTCTAAGAGTTCTTCACATATTGGTAGAACGTAGAACCACGTAAAATGTTCTTTGTCCATTGATAAAAATAAAAAATAAAACAAATTCTTTGACGGCATAACCTATTTCTTCTCGTAGACAATCTTCCATAGACGTTCAGTCCTAAGTATTATTCCGTTATCATTGTTTTAAGATAAGCGATAAGATAAGCTTGATAACATAGATATTGGGTTATCATGTTGCATGCTATGTGTACTTTGTTGTTTGGTAATATTATTAACGATTTACATGAAATTAAAAATGTTATGCTAGTTTTGTTACGGGTATTGCTTTCCCGTCATATTTAGAAATAATTCTTGTGCTTACATTTTTTACTTGTTTACTGTAATATACGTATGGTTACGTATTAAAACTGTAGGTGTAGGTATATTGATATTTTACATAGGATTACGAACAAAATTACGAATCAACTAATAACTAAGGTTCATTTTTTTTATTCAACAAGACTCGCGTTTGTGATTCCCCGATAATAGACTAACTTCAGAATATTAAAGTAGGGAATTTCCCGTTTATTATGCTACTATCTAATGAAATTTATCGCAACATAAGTAACGTAATCGTTTAATGATATAAGAATATGTCTAAAAAGAGTTTTGATAGTTTTTCCAGTATTTTTTATTTCAGAAAGCTAGGTCAGGTACTTTTGAAGGTATAAAAGATTTTTGATGCTGTCGAATGTACAGTTGTCAAAAGAGTTCTAATTACACCAATCTGCGGACAGCTGATTGTAATCAGCCGATTGGTTCCGACCAGGGTCACGCAGGCGGCCCCTTTGAGGGCACTGCTCCAATTAGAACCATTGGATTTGGACGCTCCGATACTTCTAATTGGTGCTATGTTTCACTATTTCGACAAGGAAAAAAAGTATAGAAATAAATAAATAAAGGAAGAAAAGAGAAAATATTACTGCATTGGAATTAAATATCGTAAATAAAATACTGCTTCAATAGGTTAGATGACAAAATTCCAATTATTTGTCCATCAGACAGATAAATTAGAAAATATTAGACTCGTATTTTATATTTTCTTTCATAATTAAATAATAACAGTGCTACATCGAGTTGAAATGTCGCGACAAAAAATGAAAAAAATACGTGTCCAATATTTTTTTATTATCTTTCTGACGGACTAAATAGAATTTGGATTTCATTACCCAGTCATCATCTCAATTAGCGCCATTGGATTTTGACGCTCCGATACTTCGAATTGTTGCTATGTTTCACTATTTGGACAAATGGCGTAGAATATCAAACATTCTAGCAACTTCTACAGAAGTTTCAGAAATACTTGGTGAAAATGTGCGCCGTAACGAACCTCGTAAGGTTTCTCTGAGGGATTAGCCAGCATGGCCGCCTCATAGCAAATACTCTTACTCACTCCTTTAATGTGGATATCGACTTTGTTATGGATAATGCGATTAAGATCGTAGATATACTTACGATACCTATTTTAAAGTGACGTTCAGTATGTATCCGGAGTATATTATTAATATCTATTTAAGTAGTTTATCTTTTATTTAGTCGCTATGTATAACGTTTCCTTAGTTTGTATTGATAATTTTTATATTTCGCCATATCAATAGAATACCATTGTACCTAGTGACTCATGTAGTCTAAGCTAAAACTCTTTGTTTACAACCGAAATGATGGGAGAAAGAAGTTGCAGTGGAGCGATAGGTGCACAGTGATGAATAGTCCAGTTAATATCGTAATAAATGACAAACGACATACATAAAATAATAAACAATATTACTCATTTTCATTACCCTTCAAAAGAAAATCCTCATTCACTCCCACTGTTATGTAAATCCTGAATTTGCATACAAACCGCGCCATATAAGGAAGCGAGCGATAAACAAGTCACTGCAGAAGTATGCACAGATATCCAAGTAGGTCAATGCAGAACTGTCAAGGTGACTGCAGTTGCAATCTGACTGTTTCTGTTTTTATCTGTGGTTAAAGGGCCGTGAAAGCTGCCGAAACTGGCAATACCATCTTGGAATTTAAATTAAGACCAAGTGAGCAATGGAGGTGACCTATAACATATTAACAGTCAGGATTTGAATGAATCGCATCATGAACCCTTTTCAATTTGGGCGCTGTAAAATTTTGGTTTGGGTTGGGTTGAGAATTAATAAGTAAACAGCCTTTTTTCCCTTATTCTCTTTGTGTTGATAAAGCGAAAGCAATGAGGTGTTGATAAAGTGTTAACTTTATTAACAACTCTTCTAAAAAACACCAAATTGGTAATGCAGTTTGTTCCTATGATATTCTTAACAAAATAAAATATGAGGACGGGCTTGGTATAGAATTTCAAATTCACAAGGAGGGTGATATGTATGGAGAATTATATGTCTGTATTTCTAACTAACTAGTCCAGACACATTCTGTGCTAATAATTGTTGCATCTAGATGCCACTTGATCCTACTAACCAGTCGCAATATAATAGAAATACATTCAGTAATGCATCTCTTTACAGCGATAATGGGTCAAGACTTTCATATCTATTCTCTATATTTTTTTTTGTACCATCGGCTGCTTCAGTGAGAACTTAATAGACTAGTCAGTCTAATAGAACCATGCTTATTGCCTATAGCGTCTCATAATTCTGACACCATAGATGTTGTAAGAGGCAACTAAGGGAGAATGCAAACATCAGGCATCTCCAACTTGTGTGAAGTTGTCATCGAAGAAGACTAAGCCAAATCCTCAATTTGCCTTTGGTAAATTGGAGAGGATCCTGTTCCTGCACTGAACACTGGATGACCTGATGATGATGATAAAGGTGATGAAATCAGACACCCGTTGGAAGACGTAACAAGCCTTCTTCGTCAAATTCAGTTGCAAAGGCAGCCATTATTGAAGTAGGCCGACGCCTTCTGAACACAATTATCCAATTCTCAATGATTGATGGAATTGGTTGACGAATGTCCAATTGATTGGTTTATGGAATCTATCAGGTTTACTTGGACTGTTCAAGGAACGCCGTTTTGTATTCAACATCATTATTTCCAATTAGGTAATTGATACCAATAATTGATAATTCCAAAATACGAGTACAATCTTTAATATTTTACCTGATGGAAACTGATAATCAGGCAGCTTCACCCGGAATCCTCAACCACAGAGGAACTGGCTATCTTACCTCTAACTGCAGAACCCAACGATGCTGTTAACATTGATGTTATGGCGACAGACTTAATTAAGATGGTGGTACAATTACTGAATTCTAGGCATGAAAACAGAATTAGTTTTCAATTTGCTGTAAAATTAGACTTTTAATATCTAGCTTTGAAACCAATTAATAGTTAGTCAATTAAGTAATAGATCACCTTTCCCAAAATTAATAGTAGAAATCGTGTTTAGGGAAATAAAAAGTATGTCAATCGACTATTGGTGTACTGTTTTCCTCATCAGAACGGCGTTCTGCATCCCTCTTTCAAGAAATGTTGTCTATCAGGTAGAATAGTCCAAAAGCTTCACTTGGTTCTTTCGAAACCTAATTGGGACTTTCTTCTTTCTTAATCTGCACGTTGTTAATCATAACTGCAAAACCATTAAGATGACGGATCATAATTTTGTGGGATTTGAGTACACGACAGCAAAAAATCTCGAGGCTCTTGAGATAACATGCAATCGATGCATGTACAGATTCGTGGGAACATGAATGCTGTGAGTGTTCGAGCGCTAATATGCAGTTGCGAATCCAATCAACACGACCGTTGCACTTGCAACGAGTGCATTGTGTGGATTGGCCTACGTTTTGTTCACCGATTCGTACTTACTACGATGACTCAAAGTGTTTCTTGATTCTTGACCTATGATAGAAGTAGATTTTTGTTGACATAAAGGGACTACTAATCCCATCTCCACTCTCACTCAACTCTGGATAGCCAGAGTATACAGTTTTGACCTCCAATAAAACATAGTGAATGTTGAGTAATATCGATTAAGCTAGAAAATAATAATCGTTTTGTTTTATAGACGAGCTATGATTTACGTAAATGAAACAATAAGCTGGAGTCCTGACTTTTCCTTAGAAACTTAGAGCAATTGGCTTAGTGCTCTAATAATTATCTAATAGTGCTTTCAAAAATCCTATCTTGTCTATTTGTTACTCATTTGAGAGAACAAAATAAAATGTCATTTAGGCTAGCCGAATTGGTGTAGTCGAGCAATAAAATTCCAATTTAGACTTGAAAACCAAACTAGATTTTAGTTGCTAGTGTGTCTGCGCCTCAGATGAGTGCTCTTTGTTTTATGGGGCCTAGTGCCCGTTTAGTACCATTTGTTGGCGGCGCCGGCGCATCGCGAACGTATTCTAAATT